CATGCATGGACTTAACTAATTAATTCATCATGCAATTTCAAGTGTTGGAAGCCAATAAAAGAAAACTTTAACAAGAGATACTAGACATATAACTCAAAAGCAAGGCTAGGCACATTTAGAAAGACACTAAACTTAGAAGAATATGTAACTTAATCAAGTGCAAAATTTGTTTACTAGGCATTTTATCAAATATCATACATGTCACTTAGATAAGTATAGTATTGGACCAACCTCACGCCCAAACTTTTGAATGCAGCACCGCAAACCAAATGGCCACAAAAAAACACAAGTTAGACCACAAAACACAAGTTACACAAGGAATGGAGTCAAAACAACAATAAAATTACCTTAATAGTAACAACCTAAGCTCTAAATACTAAATGATGTAAAATAAAGTAAGGTGCAGAATTTTAAGAAGATAAGGTGCAAAATTTTAAGCAATAAAGTAAGCAAATCTAAGGAAAATTCCCACTGGATATTAAGATAGTTGTCTATCTAGATGTGAATGCTCATTTCCAAGGATTGTGGAGGGAGGAGGAGATGGAATGAAACTAGAAAAGAATAAAGACAAGGGTTGGAAAAATGGACCAGACTCTTGGATAAATAAATAGAGTGAAGAAATAAAGAATAAAAGATGAAGAGAAGAAAAGTATGGTGGTGGAGTGTTGGCACGCCACTAGGGGATGAGCCACCCTAGATAAGTGGTGGTTGCTACCATTTGAACCAAGGTTCAAGATAAGACATTCAAAGTGATGGATCACTCTAAAGAAATTTCACAAATTTGTCATAAATGTTCAACCTCATTACATGAGGGGCAACCTTCTATTTATAGGCTTTTGTGGGAGAGACCTAGATGACAAAAATGAGACATAAACTTAACCTAAACCTAAATGCTTGAGTCCCCATGGTCCAAATATGTTAAATTCGTCCTAGCCCACCAAAAATACCTTTAAAGATGTGGAGAACATAAAAAAAAAGGTGTGCTTCCTTTTGTTAGAATCGCGCAGCGGAATGTTTGCGTTTACGGACAAAAACCAAGAGGGGGGTGAATTGGTTTCTTAACAAAAATTAGGGTTTTAAAATTTTCTCCAAATTTCACCGATTAAAATGCTGTGTAAAGTAAATAGAGCAAGGATAGAGTCTTACACAAATGATTTATACTGGTTCGAATCAAAAGACCCTACGTCCAGTTGCTAATCACTCAAACAGAGGATTAACGTTGTCACTATAATCACAATTATACAATCAAATTACAAATAAGAAGATAAGGTAAAGAATACACCTCTCTTGAGTCATACAAGAGATGAACACCTCCTTTGAATCCCACAAAGGATGAAGAACAACTTTCCCTAGAGATGGCATATCACACAATCCACTAAGAAAACCCACTCAGTGATTCTTATCGCTTCTAGCCCACACTAGGTTTCAAAAACCCCTTTTTCCTCCAACAAATAGTTCTCTGGCAGTCACAGTTCTCAACTTTTGTTTGAAAAAGGTTGTTCAAATTGCAGAGAGCCTTAGAGAACCTTAAGTAGGGAGATTAGGGTTTGGGAATTGGGGATTTTTGAAAACAGATGAATTGGGAATAGGGTTTTCGAAACTTGGTCCAATTTTGAATTTCAAAACACATATCTGACTGAAATAATCGATTATCTTGAGTGTTAATCGATTATTCCAGAGCCAAATTCGTAGAGAACCCAAAACAGCTCCAGTTAATCAATTAACAGGGCATTTAATCGATTAATAACCTGTTAATTAACAGGGTGTTTAATCGATTATTCCAGAGAGCAGATGCTGAAAATGTTTTTCTCTTTGTAATAATCGATTAATCCAGTATGTTTTTGATAAAAATGAGTTTTTAAAGCCTTTAAAGAGTGAACTATGTGCTGGTTATCTTAGACTCTAATATTATAGATTTATTACATAACATTACAAGTCTTCAAATCTTTAAGTCCTTTATTCTTGAATCATCATCAAAATCAACAAGCTTCATATCTATATATGTTCAACATTCATATCCTTGTATGCTTCAACACCTTTTGGGTTGTCCCAAGTCTACCAATCCCGCATCCTAAGCTTCTTCCTCTCCAAAAAGCGGTGTAGGACATGAAAAAGGAGTGTCCTATACCTTTGGGAAGCCCATGCAACCATCCTATATGTCAAAGCCTTCTTTTCCACCAAAAAGAGGTGGTGATCTTCAAAAAGGAGGTGTATAAAGTGGTCGTACAAAAAAAATGCGAAAATAAGTTTCTAAAATTTAAAAAACTAAATGCTAAGAAAATTTAAAGTGGGGGGCGAAAAAGAGGCCTCCTTTTTAGTCATGCTTCTAGTGATCCTTTAAGGGATGACCTCTCCGGTCACTGGAACATCTAGGGACTCATCACCATCCATAATCTTCAGTCTTTATTGATGTACCAACAACTTCCTTTGACATATTCTTTGCTTCTCTTGCTAAATTCTCTTCATTTTTGGTTTCTTCTTCACTATCAAAAGTATGATACTTCGATTACTGAGTTTTCTTCTTTGCATCTATTTTTTGATTTCAAGAATAGAAATGGGTCATCATCACTCTCAAAATTGCCACTCTTTGAATCAAATTCCCCTTCTATGCTTTCTACAAATGTGGGTAGTTCCATCTTTCTTGGTCAAGAACTAATCTATGCCGCAATGCATTTTGACCTGTTTCCCTCCATACTATTTTTTCTTACTCAACCAAATGTTTATCACCCTCTTTATACACTTTCAAGAACATTATGGAACTCTCCATTATTTTGCTACATGTTTTAATCTTGGTTTACTCTTGCTTTATGGTAGCTATGGAAGTCTCCATTATTTTGCTACATATTTTAATCTTGGTTTACTCTTCTTGCTTTATGGTAGTCAATCTTTCAAAAATGTGGCTATCATAGGTATCTTTGAATCTTTTTATCAAAGCTATTCAAAAAGATTCCCAATATAAATCTAAGTTATCTTGATACCAATAATAGAACCAATACATTGCCACACCCTCCATGCTCATGAATGCATGTTGCAGCTTATCAAAAGAATCAGTTTCATTTACCTCAAAAAACTTTTCAACCCTAGCAATCCAACCAATTGGATCTTCCCCCACAAACGTGGGTAGCTTCCCCATGGACAAAATTTGTGTTTCCTCCATCTTTGACACTGGCTCTCCCTCAAAGATCCGGCAGGTCAGACCAATTTGTTTGGAACCAAGAATTAAACAGAAAAAGAAAAGAAAGTTTTTTTATTGAATAGAATAAAAAGAACAAGAAATAGGAGAAGACTCTCCTCCGAGGGTTTTCCCTTCACAAAGGATTTCTCCTTTTACAAAATGCTCAATTTACAAAAAAAACAAAAAAAATATGAACTCCCTTCCTATGCTTCACACCCTATTTATATCTAAACAATACCTTGTGCAACTAACTAAATCATCGATATAACTCATTAATATGCTAACGATCTTACTACCTTCTTCCTTTTATACCCTATCAGCCGATAAACTAACTAATCTTGGGATTGCAAACAAAGTGGATTTTCATTGGTATTCTACTTTGCCTAGTTGTATTAGTCTTGAATTTGTTTAGAAGTAGGTATTCCCTTCTTGATTATAGGTTTTCTTTAAACCATGGGTTTTTGGTTTGGTCCCCCATTAAATTATATATGTTTTGTTTTGTTTTGTATATATATCTTATGTATTGAGCACATGAAGGTTGTTTCTATGGTGTGCTAACCAAGTTAGAATACCATAAAACATAGTGATGCTCTACATGAGAAGTTTTTTAAAAAAAAAAAGAAAAAAAGAAGAAAAAACTAGACTAGTAATGCAATAAGGAAAAGAGTTATGAGTATGCTTACCTAAGTGACAAAGACTCTAACTTAGAAAGACTATGAATGAACTGTTTCAACTTATCAAGACCCGTGTGTCCTAAGTGAGCATGAATTAAAGAGAAGGCTTGTTGTGTTGATATAGGCTATTAGACTCACATCTGAAGTTGATCGCCCTCCTCATACTCCTAACCCACAAGGAAATAGGCCGTGTAAGTTGACTAGTGGATAATAAATTAAAGCGAGCTCTAGGGACATAAAGGATATTTTTAATAGAAAAAGAAGAAAGAGAGTGGACAATCGCAGGACTGCATTTTGAGAGTTATTTGGCATGGTGACAAAAGTTACATAGCTAGAAGTGGAAAGAGAAGAAGGGATTTATTACCAATGATATTGTTGGAGATCCTACATCGATTAGAGATATGATTAAATTATAATATATAAATGGGTATAAATCTTATCTTACAAACTAATTCTATAGAGTTGAGTTGGGCTCATATCTACTTTATAATATGGTATTAGAGTCTATCCTGACAAGAATTGTTAGGTTTATCACTTTACCTGATATCATGTCACTATTGGACTACTCATAAATATTACGTTCTACACTCTCAAAATGTTCATTCCTCAATGTAAAAAATATGATTAAAATCTCACATCTATTAAAGACATGACTAAACTATAGTATCTAAGTAAGGTGTAAACCTCATCTTACAAGTTGGTTTTTATAAGATTGAGTTAGGCTCATATTTATTTTCTAAGATGACATAAAGATCTATCTTGTCGAGATTTGTAAGGCCTATCACTCCACCCATTATCATACTACTATCAGACCATTCATAAATATTTTTTTTCACACTCTTGAGATGTTCATTCCTCAGCTTAAGGGGATGTGTTAGAGATCTCACATAAACTAAATATATGACTAAATTATAGTATATAAACAAGGTTAAATCTCACTATTAAAGCCAATTTTGTAAGGTTAAATTAGATTCATCCACTTTCTCTTAGATATAATCAAGGGCCCCAAAGATGTTGCTAAGGAATTACCAATATTTACGACAATAGTAGGGGAATGGGAGGCCTAACGGTCTAAGGGTTGGATTTGGAGGCAATGATGAAGTGAAAGTTGTAGAAGGAGATACATACTTGTGACAAAGATCACACCAAGGATGTCGTTTGCCTCCAAAGCAATAGGGTCAACAGGGTTAGGAGGGGGCAAGGACTTAGAAGAGACTTTGGTAGGAACACAAAGGAGAGTTGTCTAGTATGGAAGCTTCCCTATTTTAGACTAATAACATAAATATGGAATCAATCTAATTGATTCTAATATCACATCTATAGTTTTCTAACACTACTTATGCCTTCAAGGCAATGTTCCAGTTTGGCAGCAAAAGAAAAAACGAACTCCCCTAGAATTAGGAGGCTTTGGTAAGTTGAAAAAAACTATCTTTTATTAACTTCTCACCAATTACATCTTTCAATCATCCTATTATAGGGGAACAATTGTCCCTAAAGCAGTAAATATGAAAATTGTAAAAAGTAGCGAATAAGAAAGAAAGTACAACATCCTCTTGGATCCTCCAAGATATTTTATTATTTACAACACATTTCATATTGCCTCTAATAATATGTTTCATGAGAAAGCCAAACAAAGTGTGATAGATTCTGATTTTCATTAGAAATAAATCCTATTTGGAGGTATTACCACTTCGTACAGATGTTTCAACAAAGTCCTTAAAACAGTCCTTGGATAAGTTGAATATATTTGGTGATGAGACAACAGCTTCTACCATTGCGTCAAGTTTCTAATCAAATTCTTGTTCTTGTATGACTAAGTATTAAATAACAATTAAAAGTGATATTCATTCACATTATGGAAGGTTAGAATTCAAGAAACCTCTATAGGTGGTCGTATGCAGTAAAGCACTACAGCATTGAAACTTACTAGTGCGACAATCTACTCATATCAATGGGATTTCTGCACATACATGAGGGGGTAAGTGTGAACTAGATCCAAGTTATGATAAAGGGAGCTGTGTTGTAGTTCTAAAGAATGGGAGGTTTTCTGCACATGACTTAGAATGGGAGAGGTTTCAAGATTTTTAGCCTTAATCAAATATACTAATTTTGGCCAAGTCTGTTCTGTTAAAAACTACAGTGTCGTAATATGATGTCATTTCCATTGGAAAATATCATGTAGGAAGCACGAATTGCTGGCTGTGTAACTGCTGATGATGCATATCGATTTATCAAACAAAAGAGGACAAACGAAGCTGAACCAAGTGCCTGTAAAGAAAGTGGTCAGATTAGAACAAGTGCCAAGACATTACAGAGGCCAAATAATCTCAAAGGAGAACTTGACAGTAGCCCACGGGGTCTTCAAAAGGGGACTGCAGCTTCATTTTCTGGTGCAAAGGATTCACCTACTGCCATACAAGCCATCTCAAGGTCGCCAGAAGAGTGGGATATTAGTGGATTTGCAGGGGCTGAATTTCTATCTGAATCGGTGAGAATTCTCTCCTTGTTCGATAGCATTTCATTTCTCTTTTTAAGTTACTGTTCCATTTCTTTCAGCTTCCATTGGCTTTGTATGTTTTACAATTTTGACAGTATTTCGGTCCCTTTTTATTCTTTATGTGATTTTTTTTTCGTCATTTTAGTTTTTCATATTTTAGAAAATTCGTAATTTTATCCAATCCTCAATTTTGGATATATTTTATTTCTTCTATTTTATTCTAATTAAATTGACCTAATATATTCCTTTAACATCAAGCAATAACTAAATTAAGGTTAAATTATGTTTTTAATTTCTGAAATTTAGGATAAATAATATTTTAGGCACTCAAATAAAATAAAATAAAAATAATTTGTCCTTCTAATTTAATAAAATATGGTTTGGTTCCTATGATCCCTCAAATTTAAAATTTAAGGATTAGATAAAATATTTTTCAACTTTTAGGGACAAAAATAAACTTTTAAAATTTGAGGGACCAACATTATAATTATTTTAAATTTTAGGCACTAAAAGCATAATTACATCTTTAATTAAACTTGAAAAATAAAATAAATAAATGTATGCAAAACTGAATATTGGACCAAAATTAGGAATTTTCTAAAATATGTTAGACTAAAATTATGGAAAAAAAAGGGCAAAAGGGTATCAAAATTGCTAGTTGGCGTAAAGTTTTTGGCCTAGTCTAGACCTGGTTGGAGTTGTGTATTGGTCTGCCTTTATTTTTTTATGGAGGGGGTTGGTAGGGAAAAGGAATGTTCTATATGATTCCTTCTCTGACAATGATTAACGTGCAGGAGAAAAAGCTTTGTAATGAGATCAGAATACTGCCGTCATACTATCTCAACATGCTGCAGACCATGTCATTAGAAATTTCAAAGGGAAGTGTAACAAAGAAATCTGATGCACATAAACTCTTTAAGGTAGACCGAAGCAAGGTTGATAGAGTCTATGATGTCCTTATGAAAAAGGGAGCTCTGCAAACATAATCAATGCCATGTAATGAATACGAGGCTGGACATTTTTGTACATTTTTCTTCCTTTTCTCCCTTGACTTATTAAAAGAAATAACCAGAGGCATGAGATATGAGGAAAATAAATGAATTTATTCTTTTTCTAAGTTGTGTGCCTTATTTTTCAGCAGATAGCACATCCAATCTCCAGTCTTTTTCTCGTTAGCGATCATTTTCCCTGTTATGTACCCTGAAAAGGATAGACCGACCATACTAACTAGTTAAATGCCACACTTAATAAAAACAACTAATATTTTGGAAATTTGGAATGATTATTGAATGGTAGCATTGTAGTGGATTCTTCCATATCGTAGTAGAGGGACTTCTATTAATACCAGTTCAATACCCCTTTTTGTGAACATCGCACATCATTATGATTTGAATACTCATCCAAAGAAGCAAACAAATAGATGAAAAAAATTCCAAAAATTTCCAAGAACATACGTGGATTTGTTATTCGATTAAATAATTGTGATGAATCATTTAAATACTATTAGATTTATTTAATTTATATTAGTAAGTATAAACACTTTTTAATTATAGAGAATTTATGAAATTACACCATTCTTAAAATAAGATGTATTTCAATGATGGCTGGCATATCATTTGAATTTTTAATATAATTTGTAATATTTAAAATAAATTGTAAAAATAATAAAAGTATAAAGAAAGTAGATTGTTAAAAAGTAAATGTGTGACAAAAGATAAATGTGCAAATAAAGTAAATTGTATAAAAATAAATTTATTCTATTACTAAGGATAAAATGTGAAATGCTAAAGGAAATCAATAAAGATGACGATCCAAATTGTAAAGAACTTCATTAATGTGTTTGTTTCGTGTTCGTAGTATTTTTTCAAAATGTAAAATTTTTCATAAAAGTTTGACAATTCCCTCTTATACATTTATTTTACCATATCTATATCTTCTTGTGTAACTACTAAGACACCTTTTAAATATATAAGAAATAAAATTAAGGTAAAGTTAAATAAAATACACGAAATGGAAAATAAAATTCACAAGCGATTACTTTCCTATAATCGCTTTCCTATTTTCTCGAGCTACTTCATTGCCACGTAATATTCATAAACGCACATGACACATAATGGGATCATAATCGCTTTTGCATATCTCTCGATTGCATAAGTTCTTCTTAATGTCTTCTTTCTCTCAATTCGCAATCTTGGACTTGATATTCTCAATTCTTCGATTCTCGACATTTGATTGACGACACTATATTTTCGTTTAACTTCTCATTTGTTCAACCCAATATCTCTTCTTGAGAATACACACTTTTGAACATTTCCTAATCGTAAGCATTTAAAACTTATACCTTCGATCAACTCATTCCAACTCATTCTTTAGATTAACCTTTCTACTTTTAGTTGACTCTTTTAGTCTTGATTATTCAACCTTTAACAACCTCGATTTTCTTCTTTCATTACCATTGTTCCCTTTAAGACATATATTTCTCAATTTATCTCTTTTGATATATTTGTCAATTTATCAATAACAAAATGTTCCCTAAGAGAATGTAACATGAATCTTGATGAATGTAGACTTCTCTTACCCTCGGGTACAATACAATGTATCCCAATATTTTAATCCATTCATTTGTTATAATTCGTCTAAAAAGATGCACAATCCACATTTTCATCATTGTGCCCTATTAGGTTAAAATATTTTGATGGTCAGATATGGACCAACATGAAAGCCCATTTAATATTCTAAATTTTCGGGGAAGTTGTTTCCTTTGGAATTAAGACTATTTCATCTTTTCTACCACTACGCACTCAACTTTCAACATCTCCTGGCCTCCAACCTTCTAAACATCCAAAGGTTTTTACTCCCTTTACGTTCTTCTTGAGCCATCTTGCCTCATGAACTCTCCATTCTTATTTGAGTATCATGGCATCTTCTTCTACTACTTGTCAATTTTTCATCCTCAACCCATCTTTGCACAGTTGGTTAAGATTAATGGAAAAACATTTACCCCTGGTTCTTGGTCCTCTGAAAAAAAATCACAAGAAATATGTTCGACTCAGGTACTTATTCCTTGCTCAATAAGAGACATATCTTATCCCTTTGGAGGACCTTTGATCCCTGTCCCAAATGAGCCCAAAGATTTTTCTTCATTTGAAGAAGGAAAATCCATTTTACAAGAACCAAAAGGGAAGTTCAAGATTGGCTTCCTCTCCCAATCATCCATGGTTTATTGTTTTGGGCCACCTGAAAGAAACCCTCCTATATCAAATGACTCGATAAGTTGAGTCCAAGTTCAAGTCACATCGAAAGAAGATTGGTATCTTCGACCTACTTTATCTTTCTTGAACATTGGCTACCTCGACATGTCGATGTTTCTTCCAGCAGTCCAACTTTGGAACAAGGATCTCAATTCCCTATAACTCCCCTGTGGTCCAATTACTTCAACCTTGCTCAAGGTTGCTACAATAACAGGTCCCAAACCTGTTGGAGAAAAATATTACATAAATGCTTTCCCTGCTGATAAAGAGCTCGAGGCAAATTTGATGGAACAGGAAAGGCTAAAACAACATTTTTTCAATGACCCACATGTTGTTTCTGATGAAGAGCACATTGTTTTTCTCATGTACTGGCTATGTACACATCTTTAGCTATTCGGACGAAATTCAGTGCTGACAACTACCCCTCTTATGTTTTATTAGATAATATGAAAATTTAGAATTTTCATATTATCGTAGTGAAAGTTAAGTAAAGATGGAAGTAACAATTTCAATCATGTTTCTAAAATCAAGAAAATAAATGGAGGAAACCCTGTGTTAGATGTGAATGTTGAGACAAAAAGAAGGATGTGTAGGTTGCTTGTGAATGAGACAAACCATCAAGCAAAAATGTGGTAAGTAATTTAAAAGGATGTATAGATTGTCTGTAGAAGGGACTGACCATCAATCCAAAAGGTAAATTGCAAAGGGTGTATAGATCGTTCGTGGTAAGGACTGACCGTCAATCTAAAATGTAAATTGCAAAAGGATATATAGATTGCTCGTGGAAGTAACTGACCATTAATTCGGAATGTAAATTGCAAAGGATGTATAGATCGCTCGTGCAAAAGGATATATAGATCGTTCTTTGAAGGCACTAACCATCAATCTGAAAGGTAAATAGCAAAAGGACACACACACACACACACTGTATAGATCGTCCGTGGAAGGGACTGACCGTCAATCTGAAAGGTAAATTGAAAAAGGATGTATAGATCTTTCGGGAACTGACCATTAATCTGAAAGGTAAATTGCAAAAGATGTATAGATCGCCTGTGGAAGGGACTGACCATCAGTCCGAAAGCTAAATTGCAAAAGGGTGTATAGATCTTCCGTGGAAGGAACCCACCATCAATCTAAAAAGTAAATTACAAATGATGTATAGATCGCCCGTGAAGGGACTAACCATCAATCTGAAATGTAAATTGCAAAAGGATATATAGATTTCTAAGTGGATCAATGATGTAATCCCCTTTCAAAACTTCCCATAAGTTTAGTCCTTCAAGATAATATTGCATTCTCACAGCTCAAGTATAACTTTCACCATCAAAAATTGGAATAATGACTTGTGTGAAAAAAAAAAAATTCTTCTTCCATCTTTTGTAAAAATCAAAGCTCTAATACAACATATGGAAATTTTTAGGGTTTTGTGTATGTGTATTTCTAATATATGAAAAAAGGATATATCAGTAAAGGAAAATGGAGCTTTTAATTATGTTATTTTGCTATTTTTACGTCAGATAAAAGTCCAATGTTAATATAGGAGACGTAAATTTACGTCAGTTATATTGAGGACCGATGCCCATTTACGTCGGATAAAACATGAAACAGACGTAAAAGCGTTTTAAAAGTTAAAAAAAGGGATGAAATTTACGTCAGATCATGCTATAACATACGTAAATTTACATTGAACCATGCTACAATTGATGTAAATTTACATCTGTTATAGCATGGCCCGATGTAAATTTCATCCTCTTTTTTAATATTGAGTTTGTTTTGGCTTATAACCAAAACCTGCACACATATTTTAATGGCAGAAAGTCCAACGATGTTTCTTGAGATAATAATTCAAAAATACAATTATACAATATAATACAAACTACAAAAGTTAAATAGTACACTAAACTAATACAAAAACTAAGTTACCTAAAATCTAAACTACATAATATAATATAATATAATATAAACAATAACCTATAAACTAAGTACTATAATTGTTGAACTAAAAACCTTTTCCATTGTTCTCTAATTTGTGTAATATCATGTTCTAATAGTGGAGATGAATCTTGAAATACCTAAAACATTAATTTGACTTTTGTTAACATGCAATATACATAAAAATAAATCAACTTAACAAATGTTGAAAGCAATGATACCCACACAAACTATTTCATCCAATACATGATATAGTAGCCACATTCAAAGAAGTTCGTTTGCTTATTACACTGCAATGAGAAACAAAACATAATGGTATTTTCAAAGTTTAAATACAACAATAATTATGATGTTTATTTATATAAATAAGTTTCTAACCTTAAGATAAATGAAATGCAAATTCTTTGTTTTAGGTCTTCCACTTAGAACATTAGTTCTAGACACAGTTCTAATTAAAATAAAGTTAGATATTATTCAATATATATTTACACTTTAAAAATATAATTAATGAAAAAAAAGATAAAGTTACCCTTGTAACAAGCTTTTCATTTATTGACTTAACTTTCGATGCAATGAACAAAACCATACCACAGAGTAATCTCTAAGCATGATTACAATTAACTTTCAATAGAACCTACATTATATGACATAAAAATTAGTTATAAAATTAACATACTGACAAAAATACAAATTAAAATACTAACCCTTCAATATATGGAGCCAAGTATATATGCTTTTGTGAGTCACTCATCCATGTTTGCATATATTGTTGGATTCCGACCTTTGTATTTTCAAATTTTTAG